TAGAGTAGTTATTTCTATCTGTGGTGAAGGACCAGTTTTGTTTTGATGTTTACATTTTCAAGCCATTGCAGGATCTTATTTTTATAAAACACAGTAATAATTAATTACCAGAAAAATAAAAGTCTAAAAATATCAAAGACAGTAAAAGAACAGGCTTAAATTTTGAATTATTAAACATTCATAGAGTCAACATTCATAAAATAATTCTGTCAAATTGCTAAAGTAGTTTTAAACCTTTACTCTCAGTTTCAGAACTGACCTGCTTGTGTACTGGTGATGGTTTGCAGACTGGCAGGCTGGTTCAGAGACAACACTCTGAGTAACACTGGCCCAGAGGCTTCCAAAAAGTCACCACTAATTCCCATTCATTCTTTTCTCTCCATTCCTGTTGCCTTAGTTCAAACCCTTCCTTATTAATCGAGTATACATGTATTATTTTATAAAAGGGTTGTTTCTCATCAAGTTGTTTTTTTAAAAATGACACCTATAAAAGTTTCTAAGATACTATCCAATGACTATTGAAGCCGTTGTTCTGTACATAGCTCAAAATCTCTTTGAAGGTGGACCTGTAAAAATTTGCCTTTGGAATTTAGTACCAGGAAAATATTCTCTTCTTAAGAATCAGTATGTTTCCTTTTATTCCTTCAATCAGACAATGAGACTTACATAACACACCCTGTTATACACCTCATGGAGTTTTTTTTTGTCAGGAAACTCAAGGGATAGATTTAAGATACAATCATAGTAATTATATTGCTATTCCTTGTTCTTCCTCCTTTTACATCAGTTTTAGTTTTTATTATATGAATCCCCAAACTGAGAAAAGGAATAACCATTGGAAAATCAAAGATGTGGTTTCTTTTTCAGTATTTCCTTCTATTCAAGTAAGGTGAACGAGCTTAAATCTTAAGAAAAAGAATTAATAGGGGGAGGGTTTAGCTCAAGTGGTAGGGTGCTTGCTTAGCATCCACAAGGTCCTGGGTTCAATTCCCAGTACCTCCTCTAAACAAATAAATAAATAAGTAAACCTAATTACCTTCTCCCACACACACAAAAAATTAATAGACATTGAGTCAAAAAAAAAGAAATTAGTCTTACTATTTTTGTGAATTTCTGAAGTCTTCTAAGAGTTCTTAGTAGACAAAGCCCACAGAGCTAGAGATTGAAATGTGTATGTGTTTTAATTGTATCTATTTCATTGGCATGGAATTTAACTTGTCTTCTGAGATCGAAAGCGTTAACAGGAGAGATCATGATAGAGCTAGTTCTGCATGTATTTTCTGGTTATTGTTAGTCGCCTGTTGGAAGTGGACCTAGATTTGTTCAGGATATGAAGTAGGCATGATTCATCCATTTATTTTGAAAGGGTTGTCTGTCCCAGTTCCGGGAGCAATGCCGTTGTTTGTCTGCTCCGCTGAGGAGGAAGGCAGACATGCGGTGGATTGTATGACACCATGATTACTGAGCTGAGATAAGGAGTTGAAACTGCCGTGTCAACCTCAGGGCATCCAAGCCAAAGTGGAGGGGAATGGGATTTGGAAATACCAAGAGGCAAAGCCCTTGCCTGAAGTCATTTCAACTCTGTGTTCCTCCAGGTCCATTCCTTGTTTTGTTTTGTTTTCCCACAGTTTAACTTACCATGCATTCTTGCGGGAAGTCCAACAGTGACTCTCATTTTTCACTATTTCCTGTGTAACTGTTGGTCAGGTGGAGATACCATTCCCGGCCTATCCTGTAAGGTAGTCGAGGAGGAACCCATGAACAGAGTGTCAGTGTCAGGAGGAGATGACATCTTCGATACAAAGTATAGAAAAGTAGGTAAACAGCGAGTTTCTACTGCAGAGCACAGGGAACTGAACTCACTATCTTGTAGTAACCTATAATGAAAAAGAATATGAAGATGAATCTAAGTGTGCATATATATAACTGAAAAATTATGCACCAGAAATTGATACCACATTTCAAATGGACTATATACTTCAATTAAAAAAATAAACAAAATAAATAAACAGGACTCAAATCCAGAGCTTCTAATTTCTAAAAAAAAAAATAAAGTAAGAAAATATCATGGTTTTGGTGGCAATGATTAATTTATTGCAATTTGAATTGATATTTGTATTTTTCATCCACCCATGAACACTGATGTAGTGTCAGAAGCATATTACAACATTAAGATTATCATTCTTTTACTAGTGATTGAGGTCTAGGAAATCTTTAATGTGATGCTCAGTTGATTTAATAAAGAAGAGATGAGAGAGGAAACAAATCCCTGAAAGTACTGGCTGCTTGCTTGTCTAAAATACAGTAACACATTTAAGACATTTATATAAAAGTCACTTCCCCGATCTTCGTAAGGTATGTATTATATGTGAGTCCTGGCTGCATGGAACGTCTGTTTTTATTGGAAAGAGCGTTAGTACAGAAACTGTGACGACATTAGTGGTTTACCTGTGGTAGAAGGAATGAGACAACTTCTATTAGCTGCCTTTAATGTAAGAAATTATTTCCCAGCTGGATTAGGAATGTTCTGGAGTAGAGCTGCAACAACATACCAAGAAGTCTGGGCTAACACATTAAATATTCTATTTTATACTGTAAAAAAAATGATAAAAAGCAATGGACTTACTGATGTAGCAATACTGTTTGTTGCAAAGAACAACCAAAAAGCTAAAACAAATGCAAGCTTGGCAGAGAAGCTGAGCAATGTATAAACAGAAAAGTCCATGCTAGTTATGTTAATAAGTGATCAGATTTCACAAGTAATAGGAACACATCTTATGGAACTAGACTGTCCCTCGTATTTTGGCAGTAATTTAAATAGCAGTTCATTTTAAGACTTGCTGTCACTGTAGAATATTTATATTGCTGAAGTTGATTTGACTAGAGCTGATGCTTCTACCATTATAATCTAATTTTATAGAATTATGAGATTTGAATGCTAAAAATAGCAGCAAAAGAGTTATAGTCCCTTCTGACCATAATGAGAATTGTTTGTAATTCATATTAATATCCTTAGGTTATTCTGTGTTCAAGCTAAATGGTTACTGTGGGATTCATTTTTTAGGATAACTAAATTATACCTTGACATTAGTTTGACTGAACAGGTATTCTAGCATAAAATATTTAGTCACTGAGAAATTAGAAGTCCCAGAAGAACTTTTCTTTTTTTGTATTCCATATTCTCTAGACAGTTTTCCACTCAGATGAAATATTTCAAAAGCATGAGGGAAAATAAAAACTTTCTCTGTAAATAGATTCTAGTGTTTCCAATGAAATCTTTTAAACACACTCTGAAACTTTTCCTTTTCATGGCGTCCTTGTCACCTAGCAACAGGCTATGTAAGTAATCAACCTCACAGTATGTAGGAATCAAATTGTGAAAGTTTTTTATATTCCCTTTACAGTTGCTTTCCAGAATCTTCTGCTACTTACAGCACCATCATTTTCTAGACCCTTAATAAATCCGTAAAATTGCTAGAACCCCTGTTCTCTGTCTCTTGCTATGTAGTGCACTGAATTCTTGTGACTTCTCACGGGGATTTAGGTTATCATTGTCTTCTCTGGTTCTGGGCACCTTTTACTGCTGAGTTATTTAAGATTTGTGACTGTCTGTTGATAATGTTTTCTTAGCATCATGTTGCGCTGGGTAGGAAATTCATGCTTGGTGTTTTTTTTTTTTTTAAGTGCCATCAAAAAAAAAATCACATCCAGAAGCATCCCCGCAGTGTAGAAGTCATTATTAAATATCTTGTCAGAGCAGAAACACTTATTTGTGAAAGTTCAATGATCTTCACTATGAAATGTTCAGAAGACCTGGCCCTGAGATCCTTTGACCTTTTCTAAACATGGGCTTTGGCTTCTAGCAATATTACTGTCTCTTCCTCTCTCTTTTCTCATACCCAGATATTATGGATTTTAAACACAGAATCACTGAGTATTCTTCATTACCTTTGCCCCTGTTGGCCCAAGCCCTCACCTCCCCACTAGCAGCTTAGCAAGGAAACCTAAACAAAGACAGTTCCTCCCCTAAAGCCATTCATTCTCTTGTATTAACCATTGTAGATGCCAAGATCAAATTTCATGCCCTCTGCTTTATCTTTCTTTTTTCATTGTTTGATGTAGGATTTCCAGTAGAATTCTGAAAAGAAACTGAGAACTCAGCATCTCACCTTTTTTTCTGATTAAAAAAAAAAAACTTCTGACAGTTCACCATTATGCATGATGTTAGCTGTAATTTTTTAAAGATACCCCTTATTATATGCAGAAAGGGCTGATCCACTCCTAATGTGCTAAGTTGTTTGTTTTATCATGAAGGGATCTAGAATTTTAGTAATTGTTTTTCTCAAATCATTAAGAAGATCTGATAATTATTACCCTTTAACTTGTTATTTTGTTAAGTAACTTCAAAAGATTCTTCTAATGCTAAATGACTCATGTATCCTTGGGGTGCACTATGCCTGTTCATGAGGTATTATTTTTAAAAATACAGTGGTAAATAAAGTTGTCTAATACTTAATCAGGGTTTGGGGAGGGTCTATGTTTATAAATAAGATTAAACTACAGTTTTCCTTTTTTACACTGTCCTTTGTCGATTTTGGTATTAAGGCAGTATTAGTTCCATAAAATGAAGTGGGGGACCTGCGCACTTTTTCCAATTCTGGAACAGTTTATGAAATTAGAGCTTATCTTTTTTATTTTCTATTTTTTTAAATTGAAGAATTGTCGATTTACAATGTTGTGTTAGTTTCTGGTGTGCCTCATTTTTTTTTTTTTAACTTAGTGAAAAATCACTATAAAATCATTTGGCTCTGATGCCTTTTTTCTGGGTAGATTTGTGCTTACTGATTTAATTTTTTAAATAATTACAAGTAAGTTCAGATTTTCTCTTCTTGAATCAATTTTGACATTTTATGTTTGTAAATAATTTTCAATTTTATATTTTCAAATTCATTGGCATAAAGTAGTTTCTAATATTTTCTCATGATTAAACATAAGACACATACAGATTCGTACAAACATCCTTTCTTCTCTCTTGACTACTCTTGGTGTATTCAAGATCTTTCTAGGTTGATCATCTTTGTAATGTCTTTGTCTTCCATTGCGATAATTTCTGTTCTTTATTTCCATAGAGATATCCAACTGTTCTGGCACCATTTGTGGTAAAGACTTCTCTCTTCCTATTTAATTGTTTTGATGTCTTGGCCAAAAATTAAATGACTGTATAAGTGTGAGTCTTTCTCTGAACTTTTTTATTTCGTGCCGAGGATCTGGTTGTCTGTCTTTACGTGAGTTCCATACTGTTAGATTACCCTAGCTTTAGAGTTAAGTTTTGAAATGAGATAGTAGACGTGCTGCCCTTCCTTTGAACAGCACAGGTTCCTGAGAGTCTGCTCATTTACATTTCTCATGCAGAGCCTACTGTTACTATTTGAGTACTGATCTTTCCCTCAAGTCGTATTTCTTTCTCACTACAAGTTGAATGACCAATTGTGAGGGCCTTTGTAGATTCACAATAGCTTTATGTTGCCCTTTTTCTTGAATGATAATTCCGCTGAGTATAGGAGCCTGTTATTTCCCCTGAGCACTTTGCTAATATTATTATATCATCTTTTCACCTATGTTTCTCTGAGACGTTTGCTATTCCTCTTACTGTTATTTGGTTTTGTGTACGTGTATATGTATTTCTGTCATTCTCTCAGGGTGCCTTGTTACTTCTTCTTTGGTTTTTCCAGCTTTTGCTATGTTGTGTCTGGACATATTTTGATTTATCCTGGGAACTTGATTTTTCAATCTATTGATTCATGTCTTAATTCTGAGAAGCTTATAAGCATGTATTTAGATATATATAATTATATATAATATATTTATGAATTTATAAATATATAATTTATGTGTATACACACATAATATATATATTTATATTTATATATACATAAAATATATATAAATAAATTGTCTCTTCCATTTTCTCCCTGTACAGCCATCCCTTAAAGATCCTGCAGCTGAAGTTCCAGGCCACAATAAAGCAAACATCACAATAAAGTAAGTCCCATGAAATTTTTGGTTTCCCACTACATCTAAAGGTTATATTTACACTATACTGTAGTCTGTTAATTTGCAACAGCATTAGGTCTAAAAATGCAACGTGCATACCTTAAGTTTTAAATGTTTTATTGCTAAAAAATGCTAATCATCATCTGAGCCTTCAGCAAGTCATAGTCTTATTGCTGGTGGAATGTGTGAAATATTGCAAGAATTGCCAAAATGTGACACAGAGATAGACCTGTGCTCAATGCAGGGTTGCCACAAACCTTCAATTTGTGAAAAAAATATGCAATATCTGCACAAAGCACAATAAAGCACAATCAAATGAGGTACGCCTGTGCTTTCTTCCTGAAAATTATTTAACGTATGATTGTCCCTCTCATTCTAGCCTCTAAATCTTTTCACTTCTCTTTCATACACTTTATCTCTATTTTCTTGCTTCATTCTAGGATATTCCGATGGTCTCTCTTCCAGCGTATAATGTCTCTCTTTAGCTGTGTTTCAGTCTGCTCCTTAACTCGCTGTAGTGTCAGCAGCCCACTCATCTCCTTGGGAACTTTCATTACTTTTTGGCTGACTTCCAGCTGCCAGTATTGCTTTTTTTTTTTTTTTTCCTGGAACAACAGGCTGGAAGTGTTGAGAAATAAACAGCCCTCCCACCAACCCCAAATGACTAAAGCAACAGGTAATAGAAATGTGGATTCTTTATCCATATACGGCACAGTCTTGGCATTTTGGTTTCTCACAAGACTTTCTTATGCACCAGATCTGTAATCTGGTGAAAATTTTCTCTGCTGTGTTCCTTAGTGGGAGATGGAGTTTTTCTGGCTCCTCCTTCATAGTATAGGAAGCCATATGCAGGGATCTCAGCTATAGGCTACAGTCTTGTGGGGCAAAGAGCACATCTTCCCTTGTAGCACAAAAAAAAGCCCCATGGATTAGGGCTTCATCTGGTGTCTGTTGCTCTTCTGAGTCTCTGGTTCCTTAAGTGTTGCTTTTACTACTATGTTTGAAGTTCTTTCTTTCTCTCTGGCACTTTGGTGCTTCCGTTTTATTCATGTGTGTGTGCATGTGTGTGGTATTTCTATTTGTTGGTAATGGTGATGGGAGAGGGAGGGGCACATCCGCTCAGTCTCCCACTCTGCCATACGTTGAATTTTTGAGATCATCTCTTTGATGAACAGATTGTTGTTGTAGCACCGTGATTTTTTAGGGTACCCTGTTTGTGGTCATTGTGTGATCCCCTGAGCTGTGCAAGGCTACAATGCTGGTGGTCCAATCCATGGCATGCAAACGCAGAGGTATGGGTTATAATGAATGGAAAAAAAGAACGTGTTTAAAATCCAGAATTTGGATGAAACAAGGTATTTCACCTCTGAGAAGGAGGAATTCCAAATATGGAAAGATAGAAGAAATATTTGTGAAGAAAATATATAGCCAAAGTAAGCAGGGCCCAGTGATAGATCTTTTCAAAAAGGGCTGTAGCTAATGAGTCTTTCTCTTTGATTTCTGAAGATGAAAATACAACCAAAGATAGGCTGTATTTGACACATGCTAACTACACATTCATATGGATTTCTTTATAAATACAGTCATCATTTTTAAAAATTGCATGTAGATTTTTTTGTCTTCTAGGAAACCACAAGCATACTGATTACTTCTGACTTTCAGTGTGAGACTCTGTGAGCAAAAATATCGCCACCATCTTTACAGCCACATGTTTCTAGGGTTTTATGTTCAGTGTTATATTTCTACTTTCAGGCAAGTCCAGACGTCTTTAATTGATGTAATAGTGACGATAAGTACTTCATGCAATCTTCTGTTTATTCAATTAATGTAATTTTTGAATAATGGTTTTCTAAAACATGTTTTGAAACTTAAAACTCACCTATTTCTCAACATTCTTTATGCCTCATACTCTATACCATACTTTATGTGCTAATATTATTTTTTATTACCAGCCTCTTTTTGAAGCTGGTGTATCTAAATTATGACAATGTTATTACTCTGGAACAGATTGGGTTCCTGGAAGTCCTGTTACTAATCTTCTGTTATAAATTCCAGGGACTCAGGGATTGTTTTACCCTAGAATCAGTGAGTTGTTTATTGGCCATATTGAAGTAAATCTTGAAAAATGCCCATATGGGATATAGAAGAATATTAAAAGTTAATAAATGGTATTTTTGCCTAGAATGGGGTAGTTGAAATATGTCAAACCTGAGCATAGAGACCCAGTAGGATATATGAGTGTATCTCAGATCATGTTCAAATTTTCTAATCCACCATCCATTCCTCTAACTTTCCTATGTCTTTCATCACACAGATTGCAGTCAAGAGCTCAAAGTTCAACCAGCCATTTTACAGGAAAGAAGGAGATTGAATAGCATACTGTGGGTTTATACTTTCAAATGGTTTTATATCTCAGTATAGAAATGAAAAATGGATGGGAACTCGAGTGAGCTATATCTGGGTTTGAATTCTGGTTTTGTCCCTTGGTACTGCTCTTTGAGCTCAGACAAATTCTTAGCCTCTCCAAGAAGTGGGCATAATTGATAATGCTGCTTTCTGGGTTAATATAGGGATTCAATGAAATCATAAACACTAAGACAGCACAATTATCTGTCATATAATAAGCTCATAGCAAACACTTTTCCTTCCTCATTTTTCTAACTAGTTCTTAGCTTTCTTATACATGTCAATATTACTATGGAGTCTGTCCAAAGGAAGAATTTTATTCTGAATTTGTCTCAACAAACATTTAACAGGTACCTCTCTTCTGGCAGCACGTGCTACACCAGAGTTAGTAATACAGGTTCTCAAGGAACAGACTGTGCCTGAAATTGATTTGTCCCTATTTAATGTATTAAGCTTCATAAATGAACTTGTGTTTCAAGTGGGTGTGTATTGATTTATCCACAGTGTTTCACTTTGTCCTCTGTGTGACCCAGATCACATGTGCTTCAGAGTGGGCACAGCAAAGGCTCCCTATGGAGAGAAGAAGTCCAGGGCTTACCTGAGGTGCTGTAGTCAAGACCGTGACATTAGTTTACCGGCAGGGCATATACATGGGCCAGGATCAGGACTGAATTCTGACGCTCCATTCCAACTTTTGTCCAAAACATCAAAGCAAGCAAAAATCATTTTTTAATTTATAATATTAAATAATTAATAGCATAGGAGAAAAATAACTTATGACCTGGGCAAACAGCAACTTTTCAAGGAAGGGTAAATGAGAAGCCTAAACAGAAGGAAGTTTCACCCTGTACATGATGGGGAAAGATGACACATGGTGGCCCAAGACCAACAGATGGAGCCTCCCAAAATGGAAGCTGAATGGGGAGCCAGTGTATAATAGGTACAGAGTTTCTGTTTGGGATGGTGAAAAATTCTAGAAATGGATCACAATGGTTGCACGACAATGTTATTGAACCTAAGGCCGCTGAATTTTGTACACTTAAAAATGGTAAAAATGGTAAATTTAATGTTATGCATGTTTTTTACCACAATAATAAATAATTAAGTAAATACACAAATTTATGTTTTAAAAAGCACAGTGGCGATGCAGTCATCCCCACCCCACCAAACAAGTGGAAGTTGGCTGGTTAAATCTGGGGATTCTCTAGGAAACCATCTCCCTTCCTCATTTCTGTGGCTAAAATGCTGAGGCATTGCGTTTCCCCTTTTTTTTTAAAACTTATGAACCTGCACATGGCTGTGTCTATATATGTGTATATATCTCCTGTGACCCGCTCGACTTAAAAGAAGTCAGAAGCTTTGTATATAAAGTATCATTAGGCAGCGATGATAATGATTTGTTTTCTGACTCAAAGCCATTCTCTAATAATCATATAGCACTTTATAGTTCTCAAAGTGCTTTTATATCTATTATCTCAATTGATCTGCAGAACCCAGGGGCCATTACCTTTGTCTTACAGATTTGAGGGAATGGAAATGCAGGAAATGGAAATCCAGGCCTTGCTAGAGTCTTAGTAAATAAGCAGGACTAGAACTTGTGTCTCCTGGGCACTGAGTTATCATCCTTTCGCTAGAAGACAGTTGGATTTTTGTTTTACAGGACTGACACTACAACTTCTTTGTGAAGAGTGAGAAGAGCCACTAATCACCTTAATGTTTGCTTTCAGTGATAATCACTAGGACCAACACCAAGATTATGGAAGTTTTTACTTTCTATCCAAGTGTTTTGACATTTTATAGTCAGACCCTGGATATGGAAAGAATTTATTACAAATGTTGGCTCAAAAGAATGTTAAACCAGACCATACTTGTCATCATAGATAGCTAGCTAGCAAATGCAAAAAGATAGTCCAAAAAGCTAAGTCTCATTGGATTAATCAGTCTTAAAGCTTTTCTTAAACTTAACAGCTTATCAGGGCATTTAATTCCCACCTTTGTAAAAAGAGACAGAAAATTGTTTGTGCCCTGATTCATGAGCTACATTTTACATAAATGCAAAATATAAACCTGAATTTTTGAAATAATTTTTTGGGGGGATGGAAAGTAAGGGTAGAAAAACGAATAAATCAAAGGATAAGATTTCACTTACAAACACACTTACCTTCTTGTCCTGAGTAGGTGCTAGACAGGAGAGGCAACGTGGGCTTCACATTTCTAAAGAACAGAGCGAAGAGGGAACCTGCCTAATTGTAAGATTTATCCATAAGATTAAAGCCAAACTATAAATGAAACACTTTTTCTGAACCTAAAACCTATCAAACATTCCTCCTGTAGATGATTCACATAAAGAGAACATGGAATGATACAGTGAAAGTGTCTTTAGCAACATTGCTCCAAAAGACACAAAAATGTCTCTGGGTCTTCAATATCCTTCAGTTGAGGCCAATGGCATTATCGCCAAGGCACATTCTACACGAGGTCACTAAGAATCAGTGTTCTGAAAGTCTCAACTTCACATGTAGTAAAAATCTTGGAAATATCAGACAGTTTGAGCTCAAATGCAATTTCAAAGTATATCTAAAATGCTTAAAATATTCATAGTAAACTTTAGCAAATCCTAAGGGTATGCAGACTAAATTCCAGTGTATATCATAAACAGTAAGGGAGGAGGTGGGAGAAGGAACAATAACCTTAAAAGCACAACATAATGGGCGGGACGTTCTTGTGACCAACTTTATGCTTAGGCAGATATGGTTTAGAGAAAAAGGTTATCAGGGATTGGATGGCAGTTGAATTAGGTGAATAAGTAAGCAGGTGAAATGTGAAAGTAATTAAGATAATGAATTGATATCAAAGTAGAGGGAAATTTGAATGCCCTTTCTCAGGGCTCTCCCCAGGACATATTAATCCCTTTATGAAGTCAATGACTTAGCTGAAGGTGCAGGATTTGTGATGGGTGTATCCATCATATTAGATCTAACTGCCAAAACAAAATCTTGTCAGATTGGAGTGATGAGATAATTCTAGCAAGATCAAAGTCAACAGGGACAAAATAAGGTCACCTACTTTTGAAGTAATAGGAGGGGAAATACTGTCTTGATATCTTACCCATCTTTTCTGTCACTCTTCCAATTCTTCAACACAGGAGTTTGGGGGAGACACAAACATTCAGTCCATGACCGAGACTCTTACAGTTTTTCAGTTAAAAGATGTTGAGGGCCTGAACTGAGTAGTAACCATAGGACAGGAAGAGAAGGACATTGGAGATGACAAGAAAATAAGAGACTGTTCTCTTCAAGTGTTTAGGCATTTAGGTATGGAGAGAGGCCTTTTTACCAGTGTACACGTCAGGGTTCTCCAGAGAAACAGAATCAGTAGAGTATATGCACCAATAGACTATGTAGATATCCTGTTGATCCTACTGGTTCTGCTTCTCTGGAGAACCTTGATATATATATGGGACTTACTGGCCTCTATAAACACGTGAGTCAGCTGAGAAGTTCCACAATCTGCTGACTACAAGCTAGAGAACCAAGAAAGCCAGCTCTGTAGTCCAGTCCAAATCCAAGTTCTAAGAAGCGCCGATGTCTGAGAGCAGGAGAGATGGACGGCCCAGCTTGGCAGTGAGCAAATTTGCCCTTCCTGTGCTTTTCTGCCCTACTCAGGCCCTCAGTGGATTAGCTGACACCTGCTCACATTGGTGAGGGTGATCTTCTTCACACAATCTATCCATTCAAATGCCAATCTCTTGCAGAAACACGCCGATAGACACACCCAGACATGGTGTACTAGCTTTCTGGGCAACCTTTGGCCAAGTCAAGTGGACACAAAATTAAGCATCACAATTGGTTAGATGGTAGTACTGCTAATAAGAGGAAGGTTTGTGGGGGAGGGTTTGTGATTTTGAGAAAAACTGGTAAAATTATTTAGCTTGAGTTATGTTAAATGTGAGGGATTTGTGGGACTTGTGGGTGAAAACCTCCAGTGAGCAGTTGGATTTAGAGGGTCAAGGAAGAACAATCTAGGCTGGAGGTACAGGGATGAGGGTTGTGAACACTCAAAGCCACAGTGGATAGGGACAGCATGGGTAGGCAGGTGGAATATAAAAAGGAAAGGCCAAGGATTAATTCTTGGGAAGAAACTGGGCATGGAGACACCAAAATCCCTTGTTAAACATCTTATTACTTTATTTTAAATTTAGGGGAAAGAACATGGAAATACTTTTGGTGTAATCATTTATTTATTTATTTTTTTGGCATCAGACTCTCACCTTTATTCTTAGTAATTTTCTATGAGCACATCCACACCTTTATGCTGACTCCAAGTGATATTTTTGCTAATAAAGGAGAGAATTCTCTGGAAGGTGCTGTAACGAGTAAAGGATTGCACTTAGCTGCAAATTTAACCTCTGTAACTCCGACTGCAGAATGAAGTCATTTATTACAGGGAGAAATCGCTGGCTCTCCAAGGAGAAGACAAATGGTCGCCTCTTTGCCCTCGTTTAAATAGGATGATGGCTCTAGCACAGTTCCTTAAAGATGAGGGTCTGTTCTGCGGAGGCCACTGGCAGCCAATTACTAGGCCAACAGTATCCCAGCTGTTATGGGGACCAAGTGGTTCCTCTTGGAGGATGGGAGGCCTGTTATCTGAGCTCCTGACTGTGCTCTGGATCAAGGGATCTGTCTCTAGGCCTTGTTATGAGGGCTAGACTTGCCAGCAAATAGAAAGCAAACTAAGTAAATAATGAGAGAAGAAAATACTACCCAACTGAAGGAAATCTCTTATGAACTAAGATAAACTGAAATGGCAAAGGAATATCTAAACTGAATGCATAAAGCCTGCTATTCTATGGCAGGTGCTGACCCCTGCAAAGTTAAAAGATGGTCTGTTCCAAATCATGGTCGAGAAAGCGTAATCAGCGTTACTATTGATACACGGGGCAATCAAGTAGAAAGCAAGGGAGAGAAGGCAGGTGTTTGGGGGAAAAACTACCTTGTTTATGCCTTGTGTTTTTAATTGTATCTATTAGTGATAGGCTTCCTGGACTGAGTAAGTCAAAGCTATAATAAAAAGTGTCTTTCTGAGAAACTTCTATGACTAGGATGACCTTGACAGGTTTTTTTTCAGCCTAGAGGAGAAAGTTTAATAATACCTTTTACACAAAACAAAATATTCATCAGTTCTCTTCTTGTTTAAGGCTGTTATCATCTCAAATAAGTATTTCCACAGGAAATACAAAGCAAGAGCAAAGTTACATGAATTCGGGAGCACAAAATGTTGCAAAAATTGGAAGAAAACAGGTAAGACCATTTCCATTACATTGTACGGGCTTTGGTCAAAGATTTTTCTCTAAGTTGGATATAAGGGGTAAATGTCATGAAACAGAGAATCAGGAATTAAAACCCCAAATTATGCCTTTTCACATGGAAAAGCATCAGGTTTTTTCCCCCTGAGGTTAAAGATATTACGGTTGCGTAGTTACTTTACCCTGAAGGACTGCTTTAGACAGCGTGAGTAATCATCCCGCAACATGAGTTGTAATCAGAAGTTGTGATGTACATTTTCCTAACAAAGATGACACCCATCTATCTAATCCATGAAGAAGGTTTCAGAGAAAGCTCTGTACTGGATGGAAACGATTCCATTGGGGGACAGACGTTATTACAGCACAAATGCAGGGATGGTTAGATGTTAGGAACTGGGTGAGCAACAGCAGAATGTGCAAAGTTGCTGGAGAGAGAAAGAAAGAAACCTCAACAGAGGGAAATGTTTAAATCTGTTTTTTAAAGATGCCATGCTGTTTTAGAATCTTCTAGAATAATGACATGGAAATGATCTGTGGTTCAGATGGGAAGACAGAAACTACAGAGTCGTAATGCTTTATGAAATGCAAGCAGACGCTGATGGATTGTGTTGGACAGATGGAGAGTGGAGTTTGTTAGGCTCTGTCCTGCACTAAAGTGGAAGAACGCTGCTTGTGGAATGTGTGACAAGACAGATTTGTACCAGTACGTTTCCAAACGTAAGGGAAGACGTAGTCCCCAAATTATCCTTCAGAAGAGGAGTCGGCCTTACACAAAAGTCCTTATGATATACTCTGTCAATTTCTCAACTATTTTATTTCAAACACATTATACTTGGTGATGCCACATTGCCTTCAACCTTTGGGGCTCAAGCTGGTTTTGAATGCTTATGGAGGTCCTCTAACAAATTTGAAATATAGGAGGCGAAAAAATTTTATCAAGACGTATTTATTTATTTATTCTTTTACAAAAATTTTATTTGGAAATCATTTGGAATTTACAGAAAATTGCAAAAATAAAAACAGTATAAAGAATACCTTTACCCAGATTCCCCTGCTATTAATATTTTACTCCACTTGCTTTTTATCATTAGTTTCCTCTCTTTTGCTTGCTTTCTATATATATCTGTGTACATATATATACATACACATACAATTTTTTCTGAACCATTTGCAAGTAAGTTACATACATTGTGGCTCTTTCCCCCTAAATAGTCAGTGCTTTTCCCAAGAGTAGGCATATTCTCTTACCTGTTTACAGTACAATTATTAACTTCATAAATTTATATTGATAACAATATTTTTCACTTAATCTACCATCTATATTCAAGCTTTGTCAGTGTACCTAATAATACAATTTATAGCATATTTTCCCCTCTAATACAAGATACAGTCAGGAGTCAGGTATTATTTTTAACTATCATGCTCTTTAGTTTCCTTTAATCTGGAACATTTCCACAGCCTTTAAGACTTATTTGTTTTTAAAAATTTGTTCCTAGGGATATGATCTCACATATCTCACCAAGTTTTGCCATCTTTGTAAAACAAATCTTCTAAAGATAAGGCGAGTGTTATGGCTAGCACAAACTATACATTAATAGGAAAGAGGAATCTTTTTTTAACGTTTATGATTGACTCTTTGTGGGTTGGGGTAAAATTTCCAATTTCTGTATCATTATCAGTCCGAGAAGAGCTGTGTTTTCAACAATTTGAATAGAAATAAAGATAGCGAGTTCTGATAAGAGGAGATAAATTAATCATAGTGGCTAGGGGGATGACAAAGATATGTGAGAAGAGAAAATAAAATTGTTTCATGAACTGTGAGTGGCAAAAAAAGAGAAATGCTTCTGAATTGTTATTTCTAAATTTATTAATGTGACTAAAAAATAGAACCATATTAAATAGGCAGATATATGATCTAAAAGTGTGTGTATTCAAATTGGCCAAGAAACTTTTAAAACAATCTTCTTATTGGGAAAATAGAGAATCACCATAAGAGTACTCAGTCACATACAGTACATAGAGCAGAAAGAGTTTCCCAAACTCCACTGTAGTGCGGATGCAATACTCTTTAGTCCAATACACGGACAATACATTAGACTCCTTGCTCTTTCTGAAACTTCCAGTGGGCTACGCTGGCCTAGATATATTGATGTAAAGACTGAAGCACTATTGAGTGGGAAATCTAGTTTCCGGTATAACTCCTGTAGCACAACTGTCTCTTGTGAGTTTGGGTAGCTTTTGTTTTCAGTGTCCATCATCCTTAAGGAAGAGAATTTACTGAAGTTCCAGACCTTTCTATCTGAGAAGAAAAGCTGAGAATCAAAATGAAATTTACCATCTGCTCTTGTACTACTTTAACTTTATTTACATCTACTAGTGATAATAAACACCCAATAAATGACAGCTCTTTTTATTGCTGTCAGGTTTATATGCTTAGCACTTTACATTTGTGATGAAATTTTGTCTGTGCAATCTCATGAAGCAGGGAGTGTTATGTTATTTTACACGTGGTCGCCGAGGTCAAAAGGTGAATGACTTGCTCACAGTCACACAGCTGGTGAGCGGCAAAGCCAGGTGATACACACCAAGCTGATGATTCTAAAGCTCACTTTCTTAATGAAAAATTCTGCTCCCTCCTGAAAGGACAGAGATACTCAATGGGATTAACGAAGAAGGAGCGCAGTCCCCTTGGGGGTTCCGGAAGGACGTCCTACAGGAGACGATGGTGCAGAAGGATCTGAAAGGTGAGTAAGGAAAGAAACAGGAAAAAGATGGGGGAAATGTTTTTAGTGAGAACAGCATGAGTAAAAGCATGTAAGGCTGAGATGGCATTGCTACCAGCAACTTAGTGTTACCAGGGCGTGAGGTGTGAGTCATTGATAGGAAATACCGATTGAGAGGGTGGAGAGGCTTTATGTGGAGGACCTTATATTGGAAGCTAGGGAGCTTGGGATTTTACCTTAGGAAATGGAAATAACTAGAAACAATAACAGTAGCAACAGCGAGTACAAAACCAACAATCCTTGGGGCTTAGAAGTAAAATGGCACTTCAATTTTCCAGGTATCTTCTGGGAAAGGGAAAAGATGGCTGTTCATTATTCTTAACAAAGTGACTTGTCCAAAGAAATTTAGTTGAAAATGTAGTATGATAAAGACTCATTGTGCTTATTACAGCATTGGTTAAAGAAGTTCTGAAAGTTGGTAAGCCAATGTCAGAGACTGGGGAGAGCTAACTTTTTCTGGGAGCAGATGCAAAAAAACATATGTAACTCCACAAAGTTCTACCCTCTTCTCAGTAATTTGTTGGTGGGCTTTTTTTTTTTTTTTAACAAGAAGATAAACTAATCTTTCATAAAGAAAACAATTTACCCAGCACAGTACCATTAAACTCGAAGTCCAGCTGGAAAATATTATGGGAAGTTCATGGGAGCTACTATATAAACTTTCCAAGATCTAAACCCATAAGGAAACCAAAAGAATAACTTTGCAAAGATAAATGACTGAGAGTATCTGAACAAATAAGAGTCAGCCAGGTTATGCTGTGATTACACACGACCCAAAAATCTCAGCGGCTTATGACCAGAAAGTGTTATTTTTTTGCTAACACAAAATGACCACTGAGGTTGGCTGGGGGGCTTACTCTGGTGCCCAGGCTCACTCAGCCCCCTTACCCAGCACTGTAGCAGATGGAAAGGCGGGCACATGAAATCATGCACTGGCTCTTAAAGCTTCCACCAGGAAAAGACACATATTATTTCTGCTCACATTTCATTGGCCAGAACAAATCACATGGCCACATCTGATTCAAGGGGAGTGGGGAATTGCATTCCCAGGATGTGCCTAGCAGGGGAACAACAAAAACTTGGTGAATAGCACTGAGGACAATCACAAGATGAAATGAAAAAAAGAAATCAGCAGTGAAAGCAACCCAAGAAAGAAAGTTCTAGGAGCTAGGGATGGCACTGAGGCTTATAATTATGTGGCTACTTGAGGACTTATTCATAATGACGGTTAAGAGGGGAATAAAATATGATATATAATTTCATAAAAACTGTTGCAAGAGTTGGCCAATTTATGCTGAGAGAAGTTTGCTGAAGAACACTGTCGGATCTGTCATGGGGAATATGACACTGAGACACAGTAGGGAATGTGTTCATTAGCCTCTTTCACTCTCACCCCTGGCCCAGTCAAAGCCCTCTGTTACTTTTACATCATTTTTTTTTTAAAAAAAGGAGATTCTAATAGAATTTCCTGTTGTATTGCTGTCTGTTGGCATTAGACTTAAGTAACTTCTTTATGACTCTATGTACATAAATTTCACACATGAGATACGATTTTATGTATCGCTACTTCTAAACTTTATTCAGTAATATATCTAATTTTAAACTATTACCTAGAAAATAAACTAGATATCTTAAACACTTTTCATGGCTGAAATAACCTATTTTCCAGAGAAAATCTGATTTTGTAGCTTCGTTCTCTGAATAGAATGGATTCCTCCCTTTAAAAGCACATATATCTGAGAGGTATCTTAGGTTGAGTTCCCCCAGAAGCTGACCCTGAGATTTGAGGGCAAGTACTGTGCTCTGTTTGCGATACAATGGCAGAAAGCACTAGAAGTAGAGGGAGACAGGTAAGGATGGCAGCCAACATTACTGCTGGGGGAAACTGAGGCTCAAAGTTGGGGACAGTGGGAGACTGTAGAATTCAACTTAGTACATAGAGTCCTACCTCCAGGTGGGAAGCTGGGGTAATTTTAAACTGACCTTCATCCTTGATTGCTGGAAGGCTGCTCTGAGGGGCATTATCTGCCTGGCACTTCTGGCTGGCATCCCTGCTCTGGCAAAGTGGGGTCTTCTTCTGTTCAAGGAAGCCCTTGAGCAGAGAGGCAAAGAGGAGAGAGACTTGCTGTAAGCTGCTGTTAGGCTGCGAGTTGCAATGAGAGGGGTGGAGCCCTAAGTGGGACTCCCATATTACCAGTACAGAGTGGAAATTTCGGTTTCTAAGCCCATTTGCTCATCTTTGAGCCTGGATATTAATTAATTTTTAAAAAGTAATAATATGGTGGCATCTGAGAAAAGATGGGATCCTTTTAAACAGTAACAGTGTGTAGGTCATACACC